TTCTCTCTCATCATTGATGTTTCTAGCTCTTTTTTTCCCTCTCTTTCTTTCTGAAATCAATAAAAATATATTTAAAAAATAAAGTAATTTTAACATCAAGATATATATCTCTGTTAAGAGATTAGAACTTGGAGCTACCTGCTGAATTCTGTAACTCCTAAAAATAAAAAGTCAATTCACTAAATATTTTTTACAGCCTACTACTTTATTATTATTATTAATGCTGAAGTTCTATCCTTCTGTAACCAGGTGGTCAGGTACACATTGCAGGATGAATCAGAAAAAGGTCTTACTCAATGATCCTATGCATATCCTCAGATTCATCTAAAAACAAAGGCTTTGGTAACTTTGGGGGGGGATGGTGGTGGGAGGGAAGGAGTCCTGGCTATTATTAGTGGTTAAGGCTAAACATAATGATACTTAGGAAATGATTAAATGGACAGGTATCTGGATTGATGTTTAAACCTTCTTTTTTTAAAAAATATATTTTATTGATTTTTTACAGAGAGGAAGGGAGAGAGATAGAGAGTTAGAAACATCGATGAGAGAGAAACATTCATCAGCTGTCTCCTGCACATCCCCCACTGGGGAAGTCCCCGCAACCCAGGTACATGCCCTTGACCGGAATCGAACCCGGGACCCTTCAGTCCGCAGGCCGATGCTCTATCCACTGAGCCAAACTGGTTTCGGCTAAACCTTCTTAATAAACACTAAGAATTAAATTTTCACGACAAAGAGTAGATGCTATTATAATATCCCCATGCAGATAAGGAAACTCAGATGCGGAGATGTTAAAGGAACATGGCTAATTATCTCATTTTACTGGAAAGATGCAGCTAATATAGAGAAAAAATATACAGGCAAATAGACTTTTTGTAATTGAAGGATGCCAAGACTTTGAAGTTATTTTTCTGATTTTATTTTAATCACATTTCTATTTTCTGTAAACCAGAAACCCCACTGCAAAGTCTTATTCTTAGATTTCCGGCAGCTTGGACATCTACCCAGATGATGGAATTTCAGTGTTGTTGTTTTTCAAAGTACTTGCTTGTAGATGGCAGTGTTACCTTCAAACCCTACTTTGCATTTTTCTTCCTGGGGAAGATTAGAAAAAGCTATCTGGTTAACATTACCCTGAACATTTCTCTGAGTGGGAACTTCCTAAGAAGAAATTGTTAACAGCAGAAAGTGTGGTATAAAGAAAGCTAGGCAGAATACCAATAGAAAAATTTAGAAACTAAAGCACTACCTTCTGATACTTATGAGAATTACCTTTTTATACAATGAGTTCACTTTTTCCCCAGCCCCTTGCTTCACTTTTCCTTCTGAGGAAATTATTTTAATATATTTTTACTGATTTCAGAGAGGAAGGGAGAGGGAGAGAGAAAATCATTGATCGGCTGCCTCCTACAAACCCCACACTGGGGTTTGAGCCCACAACCCAGGCACGTGCCCTGACCGGGAATCGGGAATCGAACAGTCACCTCCTGGTTCATAGGTCTGTGAGAAATGCTCACCAGTCTGAATTCAAATAATGAACTCGGAGACAGAAATATGGTGAAAACAAGATGTTCTTGAGAGCCAGTGTCAGTCCAGATTGCACAGGCACAGCTGGGCAGTGATCACAACCCATTTATTCAGTTCCCCATTGGCTGAGGATTATGGGATCACCTGTTTCCTCATATGTCAGGTAGGTCCTATTGTCTCCCATTGGGCCATTAAAAAAATTGGTCTGAGGCCTATTCTAGTTGTCTCCACCTTCCCCATCTAGTTGGGGCAGGCACTTTGGGGGTTTTCACCATTATGCTGGCCCATGACCACAGTTCCTTGCTCTTGCATCAGTGGTTCTCAACCATGGCTGCACATAAGAATCACCTGAGAATCTTTTTAAAATCCTGATTTCTGGGCCTCATCCTCTGGAAATTCTGTTCCTTTGTTACTAATGTTGTGGCCCCACCCCATAACAAAGAAACAGAATTTCAGGAGGATGAGGCCCAGAAATCAGGATTTTAAAAAGATTCCCAGGTGATTCTAATGTGCAGCCAAGGTTGAGAACCACTGTTTTACATCCTCTTCCCTCCTCCCTATATTCTGTTTGCCCTGGAAAAATTCAGGAACAGTTTCCATCAAAAGCTGGCTATGCTGGAGATGGATCACAGAGGCCCACTTCCTGCAGGTTGATGCTCAACCACTGAGCCACACCGGCAGGGTGAGGAAATATTCGTTTAAATGAAATTGTATTTCTTGAAAACACTTTTCCAGCCCGTGCTGAGATTTAATATTGTTTACATATTGCTTTGCTTGGTTTTGAACTTCTGGCTCCTTTTCTAAATAGCTGTCTCTTATATCCAGGTATTCATTACTATCACCCTCCACCTCCCAATGATGATGTTTAAGTTGTAACTATTTGCCTAGAAAAGAATCTGGCAAATAATGGATGCTCAATAAAGATTTGTTGATTGATTGAATGGCTGATTAAATGAATGAACAAATGAATTAGAGATAACCTTCCCAGGAAGAAAAAAAAATTCAAGGAGTGTAAATGTGAAACAAATTCTTACTGATAAATTTTGTAAAGAAGTATTTGTGATACTGATTTCATTCTTTTACAGTTCCCTCAAATTTGTTAACCTTTTCATAACCTTGAAAAGTCTATGTAGCCATATAATTTCAGAACTCTGCTCAGAAAAATCAATGCTATTTTAAAAATGACTATTGGATCAATGAAAAAAAATGAGTACTTTTTTGGGGGGGTTCTAATTGACATACTTAATTGAAGTTATTCTATCCTATAAATTACTTTTCCATTCATAGAGTTTACCTTTTACTTTGAATGTCTTAGAATACTGTTTTACATTGTACATTTTCTAGTTTTAGAAGTAATAAAAGTTAAAGACTGTGATATTAATCTGGCCCATACTAAATCAGACCTGTTAAACAAATATTCATGATGATAATAACTGAAATATTGGTTGACATTTATTTTTGTCTTATAAAATTAACATTTTAAAAGGCAACTTTCAGGCTCACAGATGTCACTTATATTGTACCCTATAAAATTTTATTTCTTAATACATTTTTGTAGTTTCCAAAACTTCTCCAGTAAGCTTTCATTACTTTTATGATCATAAAAAGCAATACATTCTATGAACACTCCACCCCACCAACTCACTAATTTATAACTCTGAGCAAATTTCTACTAAAACTTATATTTATTATAGCAATTTTTAGAGGCTCGAGAACCTATGGCAGTAATTTCAACTTGAAACTTCCAAGGGCTCTGTCGAGGTGAACAGAGAACTATATTCATAGTGTATGTGTGTAGAATTTGCATTTGCCTTAATTGATTGTACTGTCTATTCTCACATCATATCTAAGTTGAAATTACATGCTGATCTACTTCAAATGATCTAGTATACATTAATTTATTTATTTTCCTATCTTTAATACATCCATTGTTTTCTTACATGTAAAATGTGGAGCATGGATAATTGCTAAACTTTGCTTTGGTTCTAATATTCTAAAACCATTTGCTGGGATTGTTCTATAATAAACTCATTAGAGATAGAATTATAGAGTAGGGTATTTTGAATTCTAAGGAGCACTGTTCAACTCGCTAGCCAGGATGTTCTCGAATTGCTTACAGAAGAATGAACTTTGAAAGTGTACCCATGATGTGTGAGGGCTCACACTGGAAAGTGCGAAATTGGTAAGGTTAAAGAGTTTTAATGCTATAGTAACCATCTAACTCTATCCTGTACCTCTGGTTTCAGTCACTTCTTCCTAATTAGAAAGACATCTGTGTATCTCCATATGGTATGATTTGAAGAGGAACTTCCTAGAATTTCTTTCAAACTTCTGCTTTTCTTTTCAAACTTCTAACTATAGAACTTTTCTTACAACATAGTCTCCATTAATGAAATCCTTTCCAGTTATCTCATGTCTTTCATATGCATCACTAGGGTGATTCTGCTGTTTTTAAAAGAGCCAGGGACTTTTGGATGAATTACAAATTTAAAAAAATTCTTTTGCAGGCATCTTCTTTTCAAAGCCCATTTTTAGTTCCTATGAAGAGACTCGGTATAACTTGCTTAAGCAGTTAAAAACAAATCTAAGTTTGTATCCTAGCTGTACTTTTCAACTACTGCCTGACCTTGGACGAGACACATTACAGCTCTGATCCTCAGTTTTGGCATTTTTAAATTAGGGATAATAATATAACTTTTTTTTCAAAATTGTTTTTGAGGAATAATTACCAGTATATGCTGTACACAAAGTACTTTGCATTCCACGTGTCAGGCACTGTGCCAAGCTCCTGTCTAACTCAGGACTGTTCCTTTTCTCCTCTCAAAGATAGCATAAGACATGCAAACCCAGCCGTATGGCTATGGTTGAGTGTGGACCTATGAACCAGGTCACAGTTTGAACCAGGTCACATGGCCAGGTTGCAGGCTCCATCCCCAATGTGGGGCTTGAGGAAGGCAGCTGATCGATGATGCTCTCTCATCATTGATGTTTCTGTCTCACCCTCTCCCTTCCTCTCAGAAATCAATAAAAATATATCAAAAAAATAAAAAGACAAAAATGCTTAATACAGATGGGTGCAGAAGAGGGAAAACTGAGGAAAAGCTTCTCTGGGGAGGAGTCACCCCGCTGAGACACGAAGGACCAGTAAAAAATGTTTACCAGAGCGGGAACTGCAGTGCATGGGCCTGGGCAGGCGGTCCTCGGCTGATGCCTTAGGTCACCAGCCTCAGGGTAGTCCTAGCGCTTCCCCTCCAACCCTGGCGCTGAGCCGCATCTCCCGCCAACCCGGGACCCAGCAGTCGTGCGCATGCGCTTTCTAGCACAGCGCTCGCAGGAGGGGCGGGGGTGTTGCCTGAAGTGTGACTTCCCCGC